GTATGTATGTATGTATGTATGTATGTATGTATGTATGTATGTACGTACCTATACACTCTTCGACCAAGAATGTTCAAATTCGGAAGGGACACAGGAAGCAGGCAGGGTGGGAACACTTATGGTGAGTGGAAGGCGGCGAGTAAGTTAAAGTTGGTGATGGCTCATTTCTCACTCCGAGAGTGTTGAAGCGATATGGTAGTGCCACAATTGTGAATATTACGATCGACAATTATTAACCACTTTTGAACAATGTTGATTTGTACTGCTCCATATGCGGTACTCACACTCATTTTTTTGAACCGAAACGGGAAGGAGGAACTACTGGCATTAGTAAGACATTAAAATCTGTTCAGCTGTTTGGTTTTTCAACTCTATGGTGAATGGTGCAGACTTTACGTGTTTCTCAAAACGCGGTCAATTCTGGGTTGATATACAATTAAGACAATGCTCGAGCTCGTGTTAGGACTTATCGAAGCCGGTTTCCAACCCGATACGTGCTCATGTGCCACCAGTCGGGCGCCGCACAGTAACGCGTACGTCACAACAAAGAAAGCGTCAAAGAGATGAATTTTTGATCTGAGCTCAACCCTTCGGGTCTGGATATAGGCTTTGGTGGATTTTTACTACATGAAAAAGCTCGGTGACGCTTATCCCAGCGAGGATGAGTCTCCTACATATGATTTGTTGGCCTAATCTTGATATGTCCCCCAAATCCTAACCTTAGTATCGAAGCGGCGAGGGGGCGAAAGGAAGAAATTCTGCCTGATTGTGGAGGTAATCACCGCCTCTAGGGGCTAGCTACCCGAGGATCGGTATATCAGCTAAAACACGCTTAGAGAGGGTACGGAGCGGCGCAGATGGAAGCACGAGCTCTGAGTGCACTATAGCAAACGGTAACCTGTAAGGACCTGTGGACAGAAACCGCCGCAGGATTTGGAGTGCAGAGGACGAAAAGCTTCCGAGGCATGGAGACTGCCTGCGAATTTGCACCTACAACTGCCTTACCGTTGCCTCAAGGGCGACCAAGCCATCTTTAATGAGGCCGGCAAGAAGCTTCGCTTCGACGTCATTGTCCTTCAAGAGACGAAAACCGAGGAAATAGCCAACAAAAATACCGACGACAGCTACCTATTCATTCTAGCAGCGAAAGATGATGGAAAATACGTCGGTGGCGTCGGATTCCTAGTACATCATCGGATCAAACATCTGGCCGAGTCAACCGAGACTCGCAATTGACCGTTCCCCACCTACGTATCGACAAGTACATCATTGTGAGCATTACTAACTGCTATGCGCCAACGTTAACCGACGGAGAAAAGGACCCCAGTCCTATGAGGAACTGGGGGAGGTTCAAAGAACGTGCGTTCATACTACAAGTACGTTGTTGGAGACTACAACGTAATCATCAAAACACCCGGAATAGCATGCAGTGGACTACACGGAATCTGAACGTTTGATGGACCTTCTAGAGAGACGCAACCTACTCCACGAAAACAGCTTCTTCATGAAAAACGAGGGCCAATGTTGGACATGAGAGAGCCCCACTACAGCGACTCGTAGCGAAATCGACCACGTTCTCACCAACAGAAAGTGGAGTCTGCTAGACGTCAGTGTGGTTGATGCATTCCGAATCGAAAGGGACCATAGGCTTGCCAGAGCCAAAGTCTGCCTGTGAGCGAACTCCGAAGACAGGATCACTTCCGGCCTCCTTCCATACGACTACCGCAGTACAACAAAAGTGCCATGGAGGTGGCCACTGCACAACACCCGTGGCAGGAAGCACAGGGCATGTCACAATACTACGACTTGCTTGTACGAGGACTTCAACACTGCGCAGCTCGAAGAGCGGGATCGATAGAAATGTTCGCATACCTCTCCAACAATGGGTTGCCGTTTACCGTTTTCTCTGCGGCCACATCACTGCCGCATCGCTGTGAGAGAAGCGATTTAGCTATACTTAGACACTTGACTAAAGGAAGTGACAGAAGCGAGAGTGAGCCTTAAACGATGTCGTAAGGACATCAGTGACTCTCGTACGACCATCACGGTTATAAGGGACGCGATGGACAGAGCGCAGACTTGCAGAAATTGCAGTCACTCATTACACGAACTTCGTCCGCTAAATGATACCGGTTTCACGTATCCGTACGCCAAAACAAGAGTAGGCTCTGCTGCAAGAAGAAGTAGAAGAGGTAGGAAGAGGTAGAACGCGCAATACTTTGGATGAAACCGAGAAGGCACCGACCGCATCTCAGCGGACTTTTTGAAGTCGGGATACTGCACTGTCATCAAGCAGCTCACCAATCGCTACAACAAGTGTCTGCACGCGCAGAGGATTTCGGACAGTGGAAGATGTCAAATACGGTTTTTCTGTTTAAGCAAGACGAGCGCCGTCTAAAAAACTACCGTCCAATTGCACTTCTCTAGCAGCCGTACAAGCTGTTCACTAAAGATCAATCTAAATAGACTCGGGAGAAAAGCCGGTTTCCTCGAGCGTTCCTGTTGTATGGGTCATATCCACACCATGACGCAGCTGATAGGGATAGCGGATCAAGGAAGCAAACAACCACTTCTTCTCTGCTTGATCGACTGTGCGAAGGCATTCGGACTGCACCATGCAGGAGTCGACCCGTGCTAGATCGACCTCCTAGAACAATGCAATACAGATACATTTGCCACCATACGCATGCTTCAACGACGAGATTTCAGTTGTTGCAGCCGTGCATAGAGCTGATTACTTCAAGCCAAAACTTTTCATAACTGCCTTCCACTGTCGCCATGGGTCATACCAAGCTGTTTGAAATTCCTATACAGGTGTCCCTTATGAATGGTGCAGCCCATAAAATACCGTTGAAACTCGCCCCCCCTTTGGTGTGGCATACAAACGATACAGTCTTTAAGCATTTATAACACTCACTCAGGCCGTTCTCTGACCTGACAGCGCCACACATGGTATACAAGAAAGGCACAAATACTATGGGAGATCACAGAAGCCATTTTCATCGTAAACGGTGCCTTTAAGTAAGAATGGTGGGCATAAAAATTTGGCTGAATTAGGCGCTCACCTGAATAAATATCAGAAAAGGCTATAAAAGCCTTAACGGAAAAAAGCGCGCTATGCAAAAATTGCGACAATGGCGGGAAGCAAACCCACAACTCCGCCTGACGAGGGAGACCACTCCCTCTGCGCCACGGAGGCACATGCTGTGATGGGACAGATTGATCTTAGTAAACAGCTTGTACGGCTGCAGGAGAAGTAATGTTTTAAAAGGAAAGTCAAAAAACCAGTCAAAAACAGAGATGGGGACGAGTCATGGCAAAATAGGTCCATGGTGATTTCTTTTTGAACAGCTCCATGTAACTATGTTCAAAAACGTCCTAGAAAGTGGAAAAAAGTGGTTAGAAGTTATAGAAAAAATGTGGGCAAATCTTCAAATTATGCGAGTCCACTGGGGTAGGTGAAGCCGAACTCAAAAATTCAGCACTCTGTTCAGCATTGTTCTAAAACGCGGAAAAGTGTTAAGGGGCTCTAGAAGGAATCCCTACTGAATATAATTCTTCCATCGTTCTCAACAACATTAGTGCTCAGTAACTGCAAAGAGTATGCTCAAAAGAGGTATCCTTACTATATATTATACTAGTTGTGCTACGCACGCTAACGCATGCATTATGTGTCGACGACCGTTCGCCTACGACGGAGTCATTCAGCGAAATGTTGGATTATCAGAATAAGATGGAATTATTAGTGGTTGATCATAGCTCCGTCCGCCTCAGTGCAGACCCGTCCCACCATAAAAACTTGACCACACTTCTTTCAACTCTCTTAACCATTTTCCCCGCATTCTAGAAAGTTTGTTCGAAGTGATGAATTCTTGGTCCCAGCCTCGATTTCCTGTGCCAGCTCCGCACACTTCGAGGTCTTAAACACATTTGTTCCAATACCTTTAACCCCTTGACGACCATGGCACTCGCCGGTGGGTGCCACTATGACTGGCCCATGGGACCATGGCACCCAATGTTGGGTGCCACCCTGTTTTTTCCTTCATTTGAAGATTTGAAACTTATTCAATATTTTCATTTCCATTAACCAACTCCGTTGTATTTATATTCAACATGGTCCACGTAAGTGCTTTATAGGAGCTTATTTATTACAAACATAGGTAGTACACGTAGTACCGAAGAGGTTTAGATACTCTGACAAGATTTGTGTGTGTCCTTGAAGCATTGGAGGCAGCACTTAGAATACCTGATTCGCGACTATGTGACTCCGCGATCGACCTCTTCATCCTCAAATCTCTTGAATGTTTTACGAATTCCTACTGATTACACTATTGCCTAAATTCTAACCTGCATTGCTTCCAAGCCCGGAGTGCAAATCTAAGCCTGAGTTTAATACATAAATAAATAATGCTTCTGTTCTGTGGAAATAATATTGTAAAGTTGATTAAGCCAGAGGAAGGAGTTCTTCCTGGGCCCATGGCACCCACCGGTGGGTGCCAGTCGCGCATGGAAGGTAGTGGGCGTGATCTCATGGGCGCGTGACGTCGAAATCGGCATTGTCGTCAAAGGGTTAAGCACTTTTCCCGCGTTTTAGAACGTTTCTGAACAGGATTATGAAATTTTGATCTAAGCCCAGCCCATTGGGTGCCAACCCCGCCCATTTCGATGATTTGACCACATTAGCTCCATTAACTCTAACCACTTTTCCCGCATTCTAGAACGTTTACAAACGAAGTCACACCTGTTTTGAAAAGTAGCTTTCACCTCAACGCATGCCCCGCCCATCATGGGCGGGGCTTCGCTAAGCTCACGCATGCCCAGTACGCAAAAGGCCTTGCTCACTCTTTTTATTTCTTTCCCTGGCCTCGACGCCTTCGCTGAATCGAGTTATGGATCTCTGCGGAAAGTACCGCCTACTGTGAAAGCGCTCCGCCCCCGCCGGTAAGTCTCCTTTATTTTGATTGTTGACCCATCCCTCACCTTCGCACATTTTTTTCCGGCGTCTGGACTGTTCTGAGACCGAATGAGAAGAATTTGCTCATGACCCCGCCCAATTCCGGCACATGCCCCGCCCCTTGAGGGCGGGGCTCCGCTAGGCTCACATGTGCTCTGTTGCACTAGCCCTACGCTCAACCCATTCCAAACTTGACCCTACTTCTCCAGGTGCTTTTTCAGGTTATATCGAATTTCCGTACAAACAGACAGACAGACGCGATAGCCTTCTCTATATATAAAGTGCTTTGTTCCGTTTGCATGCCCGTTTGTGTGTCCTCCCAAAAGTCACGTAGGCACGATCAAGAGATTGAAGATCACAAGAGCGCCGTGACAAAGCAGTTACGAAATGGAAAGTCAACCGATGCTCTTTATATTGATCCGTTGATTAATATCCAGTCTGTTTATGTCGTCACAGACTAAAAATCACAACTCGACTCAGGCAGTCAAACCTCCAGGAATTTCAGGCAGTCAAAGGATCGAGGAACTAGAGAAGATTAGAATAGAGACAATTTCACGACCACCTATTAGTGTCAAGAGATCAACCCCCACAAAGCGGCATCAGATTGTTCAAGTTGGGGAGCATCACCTAATGGGGAAACGGTTATGAAAAGGGAAGTCAACCGATACTGTTTATGTTGGTCCTCTAACAAGTCGTAGGTAAGCGGTATTGGGCATGGCATGGTGCACGCGTTAGTGTGCATAGCCCAACTGGTAAGGATATAAACCACAAATGTCCGTTTGCGTGTTTGCCTGTCTGTTAGTCTGTTTATCTCCACTTCATATGGCGCATCAATGAAGTTGAACTGGGACAGATTATAGATGACTTGAACAAGTGGGGAATATACCGAATCCTTCCCGAAAGCTTTCCAGATTATGCACAACCAAATTACAGCTTGGATCCTTTTCCTTCCAGACATGGGATTTGTTTGTGATAAAATTTAGCTGCTATGTTGCGGCGGTGTTTGCCAATATACAGATTTGCCATATCCATCTGCTGCGTCACTGGCCGATCAATCGTAGTTTTGTTCATTTTGGTCTGACAGTGTTTCAAGTCAGAGAAAGGGTAAGAGATGTATTAGGGATACAGCTCTACGGGTAGCGATCGATAATGACAGCAAGTTTCACCATCGCTGAATTGTACTGCTCGATATGATACTGCTACTCAATATTCATTTTCGACGAAGAAAAGGAAAGTAATAATGATAGGCTCAGATAGGCATTCCAACTTCACAACATTAAAAGGGGAGCCCTGCGCCAGTCGGGCAATCCGACTAATGAACATACAGTAGCGCTCAAATACATTCGGCCAAGTGCTTCTTCACTCGTACTTTTAAGTCGTAACTTCTTTCCTACTGGATCTAATCAAGCGAAATTTCAAAATGTGTAGCATTGGTGTAGTGTGGATATTTATCACTATTAACCTGCTGCTGCTGCTGTTTAAAATCAAAACCGACTGAAAACAGGGACATTGTTGTTTCTAGGCTTGCTTTCCTTTTTGCCATGTCCAAAGTGTACGAGCGCTAATTTCGAACACAGTAGAGGAGAAAAACGCACATAAGGTGCGAATAACTGCAGACGTCACAAACTTGCTTTCAGCGCAGTCTACAAACACCTTCATCTTAGTTATGTGGACATTACTGCTTTGCAGTCAAGTAGTGTTGGGTAGTGTGAAATACGATTCAGCTGAACATCAAAATTTCATGCGATTTGCGCCACTGAGAGAAAAGTTACGGCAAGTTAAAGTTGGCCGAATACTTTTGAGCGCTAATGTATGCAGATGTTGAAACCGCTCAGTAAATTTCCAAAGAGTTACGAGCTCTCGAAACCTGCTCGAAGAGTTTCAGTTTGAGTGCACAACTGTCCCATCACAGCAAT